TTGTGTGGATGTTGTATATTTCCCAGGTACACCTTGCTAATACTCTGGATTATTGGCATGATAGCGTCACACAGTTGCTGCAGATTTGTTGGCTGCCGTGATGTGAATCTCCTGTTCCATCCACATCCCAAAGGTGCTCTATTGGATTGAGATCTGGTGACTGTGGAGGCCAGTTTAAGTTTTGTGACCTGGTGTGCTATCCTGTTGGAAGCATCAGAAGACTGTACAGTGTGCTTACACAGGGATAGAGATGGTTGGCAACAATACTCAGGCAGCCTGTGGCATTTAAACAATGATTAGGGGCCCAAAGTGTTTCAGAAGACACCCCCCCCCCACACCGTTATACCATTACCAGCCTAAACTGTTGATACAAAGCAGGACGGATCTGTGTTTTTGTGTTGTTGCCACAGACTAGTATCTGAAACTTAGCAACAATCGAGACTCAGCAGACCAGGCAGCATTTTTCCACTCTATTTTCTAGTCTCTCTAAGCAAACTGCTTTCCATACCATGCTTTTAATAAGTGGTTATTTGAGTTACTCTGTGGCTATTCTATAATATAAAAATGAAATAGCTTGAAGTAAATCACATCAATGTCTGGGTTGATGACTAATTGTTTTTAAGCCAGCACCAGTTTTCTTTGATATTTTGGCAGCCAGGACGAAGTCGTCATAAAATGCCTGACTAAGCAAAATGATGTGCTTTATTGTAGGATACAGAAATGTATAAGAGCTCCGTGAAGGAGGACATGATGCGCTGGCAGAACAGCCTGAGGACCCACGGCTCATCAGACTGGGTCATCATTGTGGTGGAGACCAATGATACCAAGAAGAAGAACAAGACAAACATCCTGCCTCGCTCATCCATTGTGGACAAGATCCGCAGTGACTTCTGCAACAAGCAGAGTGACAGGTCAGCAGGCTCCTCCTGTTTAAACAAACTCATTTGGATGAAATTAGAAAGACGTGACGATGCGTAACACACTGACTCCCTTTACAATGCTTTGTTAGTCCCAAGTTTCTTCTTTTTCTGGAGTGACTGTCAAAGGTAATTGTTCTACAGAGTAATTTGAAATGTGATGTGTAAGTCTGAAATGATTATTTGGTTTTTGTAACGATTGTTTGATGTTATGTTTCTGAAAAACGTCATGAGAGCCTTTCTTTTTATCCCAAAACACACAAACACACAGTTTGTGAATCTCTAGCGG